AACTCTCGCGCGACGGCAAGATTGCCGCGCGGGATGGGAACACCTCGGTTCAGAGGTAGCGTTCTTTAACGCCCTCCCCAGACTGTCGTGAACAGACATGCCAGGGTCAAGCGATTATCTAGCCCTTCTAAGTAAAAGACATCTCGAATGGACGCGCTATGTATTGCCAAGCGAGAAGCAGCCTGACGTGTTGCCTTGTATGCGGGTCTCTCACGGCATGCGACCATCACCGAGCCGTTAGAGGAACTGCGCCTTACGCTGTCCCTGCGCTAGATGCTGCAGTAGTTTGTACTTGTATGCATGCATGCACTCCACTCATACAGATGTGTAGCTAGCGAGCCTCACTCTTCCTTCGTATTTGCGGCTCTGCGCAATCACTTCCCCTTCTGCTCGAGCAGGTCGCTGACGTAGACTATCCTCAAGACCATCGATTGCGCAAAGATAACTCAACACTCAACGCGTCTAAGGCGATCCGACCAGAGCCAGTCACTGCGAGAGCTTGTCATCAAAGAACGAATGTGGGGCGCGGACTTGTAGTAATGTTTGCATAATTCATACTGAAGGACCCAACGCCGAGAGGACGGAGTGGGTCCAGCCCAAGGGAATATTAGGGCAGGCGATTTGGCCAAAAGATACCAAAGCAAGCAATACAAACAGATGACGGCCGTAAGAATACGTATATGCGAACAGTAAGACATAAGAATGTAGAAAGTACAACAGGAGGAACCAAGTCCAGAACAAGACATGTACGAGTACATGTATACCGAGCCCACCCGAAACAACCGTTGACTTGACGTCGGGTATCATCTAAAAGGAAGAAATATGTGAAGCAGACTGGTATCGTACAGAGCCGATCGCCAAGCTACTCCAAACCTCGACGAGGCTCTTTTCCCCCCAATTGTTGTCAGACATCGATCATGTCGTCGGATCCCTGACTAGGTGTCGGATCAGAACAAGACCACGCGCGCATGCGGATGATGATGTCCAGATCCGGATCCCCGTCTAGTCAGGAAGCCTCGGCGGGAGCGAAGAACAAGACGATCTCGCCTCTGTCGTTCCTTCTGAGACGCAGATCCTTCCAGAGCTCTTTCTCCTCTTCCGCCTTGGAGGGCGCACGATCGCGCTGCTCGGAGCGCTCGCGGTGGTATCGTTTCAGAGCCTTGTTGACACTCATGCCGCGCTCAGAGTCTGGTCCCTTGGTAATGAAGGACATGAAAAGCCCCGCGCGCGCATCGAAGTCTGCCGAGGCATGTGCGACGTCTCCACTAGGGCGCACAATGAGCTGGCCTTGGCCGTTTGGCTCCGGGGAGTTTGTTTCCGAACGGTGGTACTCAATAGCCTTCATGGGCTTGCGCTCTCGCGGTGCTGGCGACACCGAGGACGAGTATTGGCGGCGGCGGATGCGACGAACCTCTGTGGTAGAATCCTCCCGCTTCTTCTTAGGCCTGATCTTCACAAGAGCAGTGTTGGCCTTGCGCTCTTTGCGTTCCTTATTCTCCTTCCGGTCACGATCGCGGCCTCTGTCCTTCTCCTTCTCCTTTTCCTTCTTCTCTGCTTGCTCACGTGCCTTGATGTCAGCCTTGCGCTGCTTTGCTTGTTCTGCCTCGTATTCTCGCTGCGCGCGCATAAGAGCCTTGGAGTTGCCCTGCTTGACGCGTTTCATCGGGCTCAAAGGCGAGTTGACGTAGTCACCTGAGTCATCTGGCGACGGTGGGAACTCAGGGCGGGCAAGGAGTCTGTTCAGTCCTCCAGTAAGACCAGAGTGGAGCATCGCGGGGGCATCGGCCATTGTAGTATCCCTTTCCTCTTGGGCGCGGATCGCCGACATATCAAGTTCACTGGGCGAATTGCGCTTGCGCTTGCGATCGGTCTTCTTCGACGTTGTCTCCACATCGGTATCGCCCGACTTTGTCCTGTTGTGCTTCGACTTGGGAGCAGGCGTAGCGTACGAGTCGTAACGCTCGCGGGAAGGGCGAACTTGCTCAGTCCCGTACGAGAATCCGTTCTGTGCGAAGGACTCGTCGTCGTCGGCTACCTGGAACTTCATAACGTCTGCGATTGCGGGCATGTACTGCTCGTCGTATGCGGGCGGCTGACTGTCTTCAAGCATACGCGCTTCATCGATGTGCGTGGTCGTTCGCGGAACATTGGGCGTCGAGGAGGGGTCGAGGAAATCGAAGACATTGGGCGCTTCAATCGCGGCCTGCTCATGATAGCCTAGAGAATGCGCCGCTGGCGGAGGAGTGGGTGCGCGAGGCGGGGCATCCACGACTGCGACGGCGTTGCCATCGTCGCGCGCGTCTTCGACGTATGCGTTGTGGGGCGTGAGTGCTTGCGAGTTGTCGTGGTAGGCGCTGTCCCGCTTCTGCTGCGGACCCTTCTTCTTCTCTTTGTAGAGTTTGCCTTGGTACTTCTGGTCTTCGGTTATGCAGGCCTGTTTCGCGTCTGTCAGCCACTTTGAACAATGAAAAATCGAACACGGCGCAATGCGCAGTGCTGGCGCAAAACGTGCAGCAATCGATAGGCGTTGTTTCGAGGCCAGCAGATCGTCATATAGGGCAGGAGAAGCATATGCGTACCGTGTGGGATTTGTAAGAAGTTCCCGGGAAGTGCACCATGCAGTCGAGGCAGGTAAAGGACGCGCCATAGCATTGGTTGCGGTGGCCGTCAAGCTTCTTCTTTGTGAGGACGTCTCCACAGTTCTAAGCCGTCACAGTCAGCATACGATGCATGGCTACGGCAGGGGCGCATGGTGGGGGAGAGGTAAACATGGGACATGGGGCTCAAGTACCTCGCAGGAGAACGACACCATGGTGGGAATGCGGTTTCGATGGGCAAGGAGCGGTGAACAGCTGGCAGACGGTCAATGGAGGAGAGGATGGAAGAGTCGGTGTGGGGAGGGGGCGCCGCGTCGTTATCACCCCTCGCTGGCCCAGGGAAGGTTTCAGTTGTTTGGGATACAACAAAAGTCGGTATAGCGCTAAGTTGCTTTGGGAACAGGCCCCTGTGACAGTGCGCGCCTCGCGACTCTCCCGAAATACATCAACTGACCGCGCATCGCAGCTGCAGCCCGTTAGCGCCTGCGAATCGCTGCACTTGAGCCACGCGCCCGCCGAACTGGTGGGCTTGGTGGGCTGCCCAGCGCCCTCTCTCAATGGCTCGCCGACCTGGAGCATCAAAGTGCCATGACGCACTCGTATCACACACGGTCCAGAGGGGCACAGTGTCGCAGGTAGAGTGCCATGCTTCGTTCTACCATCCTTCTATCATGCTTGATAAGGCTATCTTGGTGGCTCTCCTCGCGACAGGGCTGTTCCTGTCCGACGGCTGATCTCTTGAACATTCATTCGCTAGGGCATTGCTAGGGCAATTTCGAGTCCGGTTTACATCCCACCACCACAAAGCCACTGCGAGACACTGCCGTGTGAAACCCCGCCGACGAACTCTGCGATCTGCCGGGAAGGCCGGAGCTGCTCCGTCGATATCTTTCAGCTATCGTCTTGACTATTGGCTTATTGGCTCCCTCCCAGGTCGCGAGCAGCCATTTGCGGCGTAGCAGGTACCCGCAAATACTATCGTGACCAAGACGCGACCCGTCTGCGCAGCGCAATGTCTCGGGCATTGCGCATCAAGTCCGCTGCGCCATCCAACCCCAACCTGCATGCAAACACGTCCTGCATGTTTCAACATGGGGCTTTTGCGGTCGTAAAGGATACATTGTCAAGTGTATCCTTCAAGGCGATGCGCTTGCCTGCTGATCTCTCTGCCACTCTAGCGCTTTATCATCCGGGGTCTTATGCAGCTGTGTCTTTGTTCGATGTCGGATCGTCGTCTCCACACTGGGTGTTGGTGTGCGCGGTCAGTACATGTCTCACATGTGGTTTGTACAGGGACACTACTTACACCGCAATCATACGCGTCGCCTATGTCTTCGCAGTTGAACTCCGGCTTCCCCAGCCGCTTGTTGACGATGTTGTGTACGTAGCAACCCCACATGGCAGCCGCTGTCCGTGACGAGACCTGGGGAGGATACTTGGCGAGTACTTGTCCGAAGTGCTCTGCGCATTCTCCGCTGAAATCCCAGTCAGCGCGTGACCTCTATACATTGAACGCCGAGTAGTGTAAGACATACCAGGGGTATAGGCGTTGGAACAGGTGTACATATGACCGCAGCGCCTCTTGCTCCTCGTCGGTAGGGCTTTCGGGAAAACGAGCGAAGGTTGTGTGTAGGACTTTCCACGCGGCGCGACCCAGTTCTGCCCTGCATTTGCTTGTCAGCCTGCCTCGTGTGATATGTGTGGTGCCCGCGCAGGCCGTGATGCACGTACTTCGCCGTCGCATTCTCTAGTTTTGGCGCGATAGCATGTCCTGTGAGCACAGCTTCACTGGTACGGCCTAGCTTCTTCTCGGTCGATGGCGATGCTAGGTGTGCTGGTGTCACCTTGTAGGGCCCTACTAGAATGAATGAACAGAGGGCGAACACGACTAAGGCAAAGACGACGAATCTAGCCCGGAGGCCAGTAATGCGGATCATTGTAGAGTAGGTGTACTAGTTCTCTGAAACGAGAAAGCGAGGTGTTAGGGCGGTAGGAAGCGTTCCATGGTTCACTGTAGAATGTGAAAGGCTGCCATCCATGGCCACGCACGCGATGCCTCAGATAACGCCAAGCATTGGGGCTTCGCAGCATCACGCCCGAGTGGTCCCACCACGCGCGGGTAATCTGCAGGTACGTCTGCGCGATCGAAGCTAGTTCGCATTGGAACAACATCGTCAGGGCTCTCCGCGATGGGAAATCTACAATTTGCGGGCGGGTGGGCTTTTGATATATTGCGACGGCTGCCGAGGGATATTACCGGGCTACGTCATCCGATATCGCAGTAGGGCTGAGCTTACTGAGCCTCCGAAAGCGTTCAAAACTTTGGAATCGCCAATTGACTGACCTGCATATTGACGCGCACCTCAGCACACGACACCCCAAATCACTTCAAATATAACAACCATGTCGGACTTTCCTCCTCCACCAGTCGACACCATTGGTATGTCAATTGCTAACCCGGTCGCCGGGACGTTCCACACGCCGCAAAGACCCGCGCTAATTCAATCGCAGACTGGAGCAACGTGGGCTTCAAGATTCGGGAAGGTAAGGCTTACCCTGTCACGAATGACTTCAGTGCGCGGCTGCGTTCAAGTATAGACGAGGAGGCAGAGTCTATTTCTGCTGCGTACTCTCAGCCCCACCATACAGTCATCTATAGAAAAACGCATTTGAACATCTCCTAACTTTGCAAAGTCGCTGGCCATGTTGAATCACACTACTCTAAGGAGACCGGAAAATGGACCCCTCCAGTCTTCGTCGAAGATCCATTCCTACGAATCCACGGCATGGCGCCGGGCCTGAATTACGGAATGCAGTGCTACGAGGGCATGAAGGCTTTCCGTGCACCAAACAACACTATCAACATCTTCAGGCCCAACAAAAACGCCGAGAGGATGCAGCACTCAGCGTCTTTCATTTCTATTCCGGAGGTTCCGACAGACCATTTCCTCGCCTGCTGCAGCATGGCCGTGGGAATGAACGCGGCGTACGTACCGCCCCATGAAACAGGCGCCGCAATGTATATCCGACCACTCCTCTTCGGTAGCTCGGCGCAGCTTGGCCTGAACCCACCCCAGGAATACACATTCGTAGTCTACTGCATCCCAACGGGTGTCTACCATGGCTCAAACCCAGTAGATGCTGTCATTCTTGAGGACTTTGACCGCGCCGCGCCAGAGGGTACTGGTTCAGCAAAGGTTGGCGGCAACTACGCTCCAGTATTACGGCATAGCGAGAAGGCGTACAAGGCAGGTTATGGTATTACCCTGCATTTGGACAGCAAGACTAGGAGCGTTGTTGATGAGTTCTCAACATCTGCCTTCATTGGCGTAAAGAAGGATGGCGACAAGGTCAAACTCGTCGCATCCAACAGCAAGAACGTCATCCAGAGTGTCACAGGAGACAGTGTTCTCAGGATCGCAGAATCCTTTGGCTGGGAAGCTGAGTCTCGAGAGGTACTACAAACTTTCTGTCAATGGATACGGTGAGCTAACAATTTCAGATCGCCTATGACGAACTCAAGTCCTTCGATGAAGTCCTTGCTGCTGGAACCGCGGCGGCTCTTGTGCCCATCAAATCCATCACTCTGCCTTCCAAGGACGACAAGTTCACATACGCAGAGGCACAGCAAGAACCAGGCCCAGCATGCAAGAAGCTTCTGTCGACCTTGAAGGGCATTCAGCAAGGAAAGATCGAGGACAAGCAGAGCTGGCTGTTCAAGGTAGAGAGGCCAGAGCAGTTCGGAAAGCAAGATCAGGCAAATGGTGCCAAGATAGTTGGACAACTGCCTTAGAAAGCTGTGTCAACCAAGGTTCAAGCGTTTACCATGTAAAATCGCAAAAGTCTGAACGATTACCACCATGGTTACAACCTGCCCAAAGTTGACCTTTTAAATCTGCATGAAGGAATTGTGAACAGTGTGAGACTGAACAAAACAAACGTGGATTACATCTCCGCTTTTGCTTTGTCCTATACTTAGACGCGACTGTTACAACCCAAACACCCGACAGCAAGACCACGTGCTTGAAACGAAGAAGACGATCATAACACCGGAAACACGGAGCTTGCAACGGCGATATCTCGCGTTAAAGGTGTTGGTGCCCCAGGAGTATAAGTGCCGAGGCGGCCAGAACTATTTCCTCGACACCCCCACGCAGTCTAGCCCCATACGCATACGTCATCCCTGCTTTTCACCCGCAGAACCCACCTGCATCTGCATCATTCGAGCGCGCGTCTACCCAGCAGTGCAACGAGACAGACACCCGACATCCCTACCCTTTCGCACACCCACGAGGCCCGCACCCTTAATTAGTCCTTCGGCAGTTACCGCCTCGCACAGAATAACTGGCACGCCGGTGCCACACGATCCATCCATAGAGTCACATCGCAACCGGGTGCAACATGCCTGGATCGTTTTCGAGGATTCGCGACAAGGCGAGGCGCCACTTGGGTGATCCTAGTCCGGATGAGGCCTATCTTTCTTGTGAGTCTGCATCGAGAGAGTGCAAGAGGGCGAAGACTGACTGAGCGTAGATCACGATGTGAGGGGTGTGTACGCGTCGCCTATTCCTTGAGTTGCGCTTCCATGCGCTTTTGACTAATCAACGACCATACTGACGACTACAGTGACGCGAGCCGACTTGGACAGTATCAAGTCTAATGACTGGCTTACGGACAATGTGCGCATACCACTTCCTCCCAATCCACCACAGTCATGACTAACGCATCAACAGGCAATCGCCTTCTGGCAAGAATACCTCGAGCGCGAAGAGCTCAACGCCTTCCCCAAAGCCTCCATCGTCCTCCTCCGCCCCTCCATGTCCTACATGCTCATGCAAAGCGCCGAGCCCCTCTCCCTCAAAGAAGTCCTCCCCAACTTCAGCCACACGACCCACGTCTTCCTGCCGATAAACGACAACACCGACGTCACACAAGCCGAAGGCGGCTCGCATTGGTCCCTCCTCCTCGTGTCCATCATCGACGGCGTGTCCTTCCACTACGACTCCATGACCCAGTCCAACGAGCGGGAAGCGCGGAGTACGACTATGAAGCTGGAACAACTGTTGGGCAAACGACTGCGGTTTATCCCTATGAATGATAGTCCGCAGCAAGAGAACGGCAGCGACTGCGGCGTCTTCGTTTGTGTGCTCATGCGGCATTTGTTGCTTAAGAGGCTGCTTCGGGCCGACGCGAGCAAGAAGGTTAGCATGAGCATGAGGGATGCACACATCAACGCGAAGGATGGACGGAGAACTATGCTCAAGGTTATCGAGGAGAGGAGAGACGAGGGCAAGCGGAGACGCTCGTAAGTTTCTCATACTTGGGTACGACTACAGAGGAGAAGCTAACATTTGTGCAGAGGAAGCCACTCGCCGTTTAGAAATCCCTCCGCCCACTCTAAGAGCCCGCCACGTATAGGCGACGAACAGTCACAGGAGCGTTAGTACCCGCTGTGATTTGCATCGAAGGAATTCCTGGCCGGGCCCTACCCAATGGAGATTAAGAACACGGCCTTGTTCTCCTGTGTGAACGTAGCACTGCATACACCGCATCCCTGGTTATAAATACGTGAGCGAGCGTAGGATACCCCTCACTCGGGACGCGGACTGAATGGGGTCATGAATTACGATTTACATGTTTTATGTTTACGCAAATATACGAACTGCTGGCATCGGCACTGGAGTTGATAGTATTAATGGAACACGCATCTTAACATCTCTATATCGCGAATTGGGCTAGGAATATATGCGCATTCAAGCCTATGTGCATGTCTAGTCTACGACGGATACCACTAACCAACGTGATGGCGCCATCCATGCATGTACAAACGTATCCAGACGCTTGCTTCCAGATCCTAGACCCCATAAAACGATAGATGTGCGTTCTACGAATCCCACAAAGTGCTCTAATCCATTCAACACGTCTAAGTCGTCTTTTCTTCTGCTTTGGTTTCCACCGGCTTAGCTTCGCCCTTGGGCACAAGATTACCGTTATCGTCCCGCGGTATACGTTCCCAGCCCGTCTTGAACCTCTTCTTGCTTGCGTCGAAGCGAGGCAAGGGATGCGCTTCGGTATTCAGGACGATTTGATCGAGAGGGAGGAGGTCGTCGGGGGAGAAGAGGAGGTACATGTATTTGAGTGTCTCGGCCTGCATGAATGGGTTAGTAAACCAGTCCAGTACCCCTAAGAGAGGTGAAGACGACGGGGAAAAGAAACTTACGAGCCAGAAACTCTCCATGTTGTCCCGCGACGGAGGAGGTACCTTCGTCACATCACCAATACTAGAGAACCCGCCGTTGTCCTCTACGATAGTGTGTTTGACGAAAGCTTCAAACATATCCCAGCCCCATTCGCGATAGATGTCATCGCCGGTTATGCGCCACATGTACAGGAGCGACTCTACCGTTTCCGGTCGCTGGAGATTATGCGTATCAGCGGGCTTGAGGTCGAAATCGCTCTTCCAGCCCTCGCCCTCGGGAACGCTGGTGTCGAGCTCGGATTTAGATGCTAGGATCTCGGTGCGGTACATCTTGGGCGGGTCGTCGAGCTGGAAGTAAGCGATTTCAGGGGCGAGACCTGTGGCGGTTACTTTGTACATGCCCATGCATGTTTTTGTGAGTTCGCGGGCGAGGGTTATGTCTTCTTCTTGTGCTTTGCCCCAGGTGGGTAGTTTGCGGGCGTCCGCGAGGGGGATGCCACCAGTCGCGGCGAGGGCGATCGTGCCGGGAAGGAAACAGACGAGGTGGTCCATTTTGGGGTGGAGTTTGCCTTCGATACCGCTTGGCCGCTCTGCTAGGACGGTGAAGTGGCTGTTCTTCGTGTATGTGAGGAGATGCTTCTTTGCGCCGTTGAGCGACTCGTTCCACATCTCTTGGTAGACTGGCTCTTGCTTCTGGGTCTGCAAGTACTGCTTGATGAGGTATTCGTAGTAACTGTCTCCACGGCTGCCCCATCGAATCTCGCTTCCGCGGAAGGTGCCTTTGTCTGCGTAGATGAAGATGGGTAGGAGACCGTCTTTGGCGCCGTTGTCATCCACGACTTTCATTACTTTCTCAGCTACATCCCAGTAGTGTGCCTCACCGGTGAGGAACGCTAGGTATTTCATCTCGAGTTGGAGAGTGGTTGCTTCGGCTGTGGAGGACGCACCGCCGTCGGCGTGCGAGGCTTCGCCTTTGGCGTCTCTTAGGATCACACTGGCCCAGGGCACACCCGAAGGTGACTCGTACGCGCCCATGAGACGATCAGCCAGGTCGGTAGCTTTCTCCAGGAAGAGGTCCTCCTCGTTTGAGTTCTCAGGCTTCAGGCCCGGAAGTGTCTCCTGCAAGTAGTGTGCAGACAGCAGACCACCAAGCATGCGTATAGTTGTCTCGAAGGTATTGACATCCTGCTTCTTGTCGTAATCGAGGCTCGTCGAAATCCATTGCCGTGCGTGGGTGAGTTCTTTGGTGAGGTTCATGATCATGAGCGTGTCGAGCGCGTCCACGATGATCCAGCCCAGACCGTTGGGCTCAGCCATGTATCGACCCTTCTTCGAAACGGGGTGGTACTCGTCGTAGCCCCAGCCATGTTCCTCGTATGCGTTCCAACTCAGCAAAAACGCGTCCTTGACTGCTTGTCTCCGCTTCTCCCAGTCAACTTTGCTCTTCTTTCCGGCAGCACTTCCACCTATATTTGACAACAAGCTCTTGCCCTTATCCTTCTCGTCTTGTACTGTGCCCACGTTTGTGCCACCACTAGACCATCCGAACCAGTAGAACAGCCCCAGCACTACCAGTGCTATCAGCGACATGCCCCTCTTATTCCGCAGGAAGCCTTTCCTTCCCCTCGCACCACCGCCATATCCATAGCTTTTCCCCGAAGGCTTGTCCTTATACATTGGCAAGCCCTTTTCGTTCCCCGGTAGTTTGTTCCAAACATTATCTTCAAACTTTCGTTGCGCGCTCTCGAAATTGGGTACGTTGCGCGGGATGGCGAAGGACATATCTGAGTCCTGGATCGCCTGTTTCGTGGCCTCGACTGCCTGCTTGGTCGATTCGACAGCTTGCGAGGCTTTCTTGTTGGCGGCGTTCTGGAGGACGGCGAAGGCGGAGGGTGTCTTGAATGCTGTTTTGCTGCGGAGGTTGAACGGGTCGCGTGTCGAGTTCATGAGGCGGCGCGACGCGTAGTGCTGATTGAACAATAGACCAGGCGGAGCGAGTGTATTTCACCCTTGCGAAGTCTGATAACTTGACATCCTGCTCCAGACTCCAGTCGACTTGGATAGCAATGCTCAAAGCGCCCTCTGTCTGACTCGCCAGGTGTTCATTGCTCATCCCCGATGCAGATAGCTTGGCTAGACAGGGGTCCCGCATCTCAGGAAACATCAGCCACAGCGGAGTTCAACGGGGAGGCTCCACCCTCAAACCTCAGCCTCATTGCGACTCGCAAGCATCGCTCTTCCTTGTGCTACAGATAGGACACGCGTACTCAGGCAGAAGCACAGTATAGCCTCCTTCCTCAACCAAATATATCTCAGCACGATGAGGTATATCAACAGCAGCTGCGATGCGGCAATATGTTTCCAGAAGTACTCGAGCTTTGTTCTTATGATCACCGCCCACCCTGCAGTATTTACGATTACCGCGTCTTGTCGTCATTGCTATCTACACGTTACGTGATGGCGTTCTACACCAAGGACGAGATGCGCTTCCTACTCTTTGCTCTCTTTTCCTGCCTACCCTTACACCGTTGCTTTCGCATTGCTCGCACACCTTCCCCGCCAGTACATAGAACAGAGACGCCTAGTATCGGAAAGTCGCAGTCAAGAGCGCATGTACGGAAGAGCAAGACGAAGCGATACGATTCTTCATCTACCATAACCATCTCACCAAGCGAAACGCAATGTCAGGCGCAAGCATGAAGCGCATTCAAATCACACCAGACGGCTCCGGCCCACCTACAAAACTCGACACTGACGTTCCTACCTCTTTACCCGACGCCAAAGAAACCAAGATCCATCCTCAGAACGCCCCAGACGCTTCAACAAATGCCTCCCTTTTCTTCGTTGGAACTGCCACCACAATCCTAGAGTGGGAAGGCATCCGCATTCTCACTGATCCCAACTTCCTACATGCTGGCGATCATGTTCACCTGGGACCTGGCGTTGGTGCGACGAGACAGACTAACCCCGCCATCGATTTGGAAGAGCTACCAAGAATCGATGTGATCTTGCTGTCGCACTACCACGAAGACCACTTCGACCGAGAAGTAGAGGAAAAACTGTCAAAAGGTCTCCCGATCATCACTACACCACATGCCAAGGAATGCCTGACAGGCAAAGGCGAGGAGTCGTTCAAGAATGTGCATGCGCTAGACTTCTGGAACAGCTTGCTCCTAGATGTATCGCAGTCAGACCAAACAAACAAAAGCGGTCCGAAGCCTAGCATCAAAGTCACAGGTGTGCCGGGCAAGCATGTACCCCCAGGTCCACTGAACGTCGCGAACGATATTCTTGGCGCTGTTCCACCTACGAATGGCTGGATGGTCGAATTAGGGTACTCGGATGGTTCTTCTAGCGACGGTAGTGACTTCGAGAACGGATACAGGATTTACATCTCTGGCGACACGCTGATGGTGGACGAGCTCAAGGAGATTCCTGAGCGATACAAAGATCAGAACATCGACCTGATGCTGGTCCACCTGGGAGGCACCACGATTCCTGGACCTAAGATGCCGTTGCTGATGGTCACAATGGATGCCGAACAGGGCGTACAGCTGATGCAGCTCATCAACCCCGACCTGACGATTCCAATCCATTACGACGATTATGATGTGTTCCTGAGCCCGCTGGACGATTTCAAGAAGGCGGTACACGCGGCGGGTCTAGATAGCAAGGTCGTGTATCTGGACCGCAAGGATCAGTACAAGTTCAACGTGAAGCAAGGACAGAAGCCGAAGCAATCGCTGTATTAGTAGCCCTATCGGTAGTGACTCTGTAACTAGCTGTTCAGCAAAATTGACCATGATACATGATGATTCTTGGTGCACGTCGGAAACAGGCTGTGGTGTTCGGAATGAAGTTTGACTTTTTTCATTCCTGGTGGTAACCCAGTGTGAAGGGTTCCGTGATGCCATTGAACAAAATTTATCCGTTGAGACGCCGTCCGCCCATGCCTTCGTGCTTCGTGCGCATCGTGCGTTGATGTCCTTGCACACTTCCGTCCTCAGTTCCTCATGCGTTCGATCTGTTTATGCGTGCTTGCCCTTGGGGTTCTTCTTGCCAACGTCGGTGATAGTAAGACCTGCGGTTGTTAGATTCGTGTCATTGGCGCTGGAGTATTGGGGATGTGCGTACCCGGGGGCAGACTCTGCTTGAGCTTCTCGGCCTTGTCGGTGTCCTTAAGAACGAGGGTGTAGACGTTTGTTGAGCATCGGACCTTGAACTTGATGTTGTTGACCTTCTTGT